CGAGTGGCTTAATGTAAAGTTTAAAAGAATACTTCGGTTAAGTTAATTATTAACTCGTTTTACATTAAGCCACTCGAAATAACGCCTATTTTGGGATAATATTGTAGTGGTAATATATTAGCCAGTCAAGTGAGTCCATCATCGCGATGAAAAAAGATAGCATTTTTTTGTGTCATAGACGTGTGTTAATTTAATATCCGCATTTCTGGGTTATCTAAAGCCCAAGCACCCCCGAAAAAATTCTGCACAACCAATTAAATTATTAAATAAAGATACAAACAGTCATGTGATGTTTTACATTTCGTAGGACCCTCTAAAAAAAAAGATGAAAGTAGTATCTATAAGATCTTACGCCACTTCTAAATTTTCTAAATTTATCATTCTGATATTTACAGCTTTGAAATAATCATGTCGAAAATGTTAACCAAGGATCCTTTGTAGTTATTAATTTGATGATAAATTTGTAATGAACATTTGAGTTATATTACAGCCTGAATTTGTTTATAGAGCTCCGAATTGCTAACTAAACAATCAGTAGATTCTTGTTGATGGTGTAAATTAGAACCTGAAAAGTGAAATTATAGTACGAAAGGTTTAGATGCATATAAAACTAAACAAATTTCTTAGGTACTGATAAATGGATAAAGCTGTAATTTAATTAGTTGAATATAAGAATTATTTACTAATTAACGTGTTAAAAATACAGGCCTCTGGATATACCGAACTGCATGTTCTGTTCGATATAGAATAAGTTCGTATACCAGGTGTTTGATAAGTCCCTGGACAGGACCTTTTTTATATCTTCGCTAGTATTAGTTTTTTTAGGGGAATTTACAAATAAGGGCCCGGAAAGTGAAAATAATTACAAATACGGGCCCAAATTAAAAATAATTACACATGAGTGCATTACATATAGGGGCATAAGTCTATTGATGGATGAAAAACGTTATCACGGAACTACTGTATCACAAAGTACTCAACCATTTGACTTATAACAATTGCAAAATCACGATTATAGGATTATTGGTTGTTTTATTATAGGCATTTAGAGTTACCTAGATATCAATTATTAGATAAAAAATAAATGAAATGCTGGCTACAATCATTTTCGCTTAAATCTTTATAAAAAATAGTGTTAAACTAGCACAATTATTTATACGACGAAGAAGTTTCAACAGGGTAGCTCTCAAGAGCAGAACAATTATCTTCATCTTAGTAAATGTTATTCCAATTCGCAATGCTTTACTTGATATCATAGTGGTTTGTTATAACAATAACCGATTTTATATAAAGAAAATGAAATTTATTAAATTTAAAAAATTTCTTTTCTTGTTTATAATTACTTACAATCGATCGTTGAATTTTTATGTATATACTTAATAACTACATTTATCGATGCCTATTTCTTATGCTAATAATGGTCAAGCCATAGACTTGAATAATGTCGCTGTTATTTGGGTTAGGGTTCAGGGCACAGGTAAAAAATTTGGCATACCCATATGGGCATGCCATTAGGTCGATCTAAGATTATGTGACCAAAACCTAATTACAACATAGCACGCATCAACCCTAATTGGTCAATCATTAAATATATAGTTACATATATATTGCATATAACAGCTGACTTTGGACAAATTGTTTGTCATAAAACAAATTATTACATATAAATTCTAAGATAACATTTTACATTTTATAACATAATTTGAGCAAAGGTTAGATAATTTAGGATCAAAACAATTTAGTATGCAGAAGAAAGTTAATATTCATTATTCAACAATAATTAAAAAATAATTAGTAATCTGAAAGATTATACTTAGAAACAAATATTTTATTAATTATTATAAAATTACATATAAATGTTAAATGTTAGAAAGAGACAAGTGAAACATATTAAAAAGATGAAAAACATAAATTTTACTTAATAAAAAACTTTTATTATTATTTAATTAAATAGATCTTAATATCTTTATATTTTGCATATTAGATTTATAGAAATTAGTTTGTTAGATACTGATTTTTATAAATTTAGATATTTAGTATGTTTGGTATTTTGTTTATTTTATTGTTAAATTGGTATTCTTAGATTATAGTAGTTAGATTAATGTAATTTTTAAATTTATTTAATACTGTAATATAGTATATTTGTATTTGTAAATTATAAATTAAAAAAGATAATTGATTCTTTATTAATTTATAAACTTTTTTATACAAAGTTTTTTTTTATTTCTAAGAATATTAAAAAATTATGTAGTTTAATTAGTTAATTATTTATATAACACAGATTGAATAAATAAATAAAAGATGAATAATAAGTAAATAATAGAAAAAAATCTGCTATTATTCTATCTTATATTTGCCAAATAATAACAGCATAACAGTAGCATAATAGTAAAATATCAATAAAATAATAGAAGGTTTGTCAATATGAGTAACATAATAGTAAGATAATAGCAAAATAATAAAACAGTTCTATTATTTTGTTAATATATTACTATTATGTTACTTATATTGACAAACCTCCTATTATTTTACTGTTATTTTTCTGTTATGCTGCTGTTATACTACCATTATTTGGCAGATATAAGATAGAATAATGGCAGATTTTTTTTCTTCTTTATTCATTTGATCGACCTGTGTAATTATGAATAAATTTCCAAAAATTGATCAATTATATGACATTTTCTTAAGTATGGACATGTCTTTTGACTATATGACATGCCTATGAGCATGCTCTGTGCCCTGAACCCTATTTTGGGCCTTTATATGTAATATATATTTTTTTAAAAATTAGATCCTCATGTAATTATTTTAAATTTGGCCCGTATTTGTAATTATTTTCACTTTCCGGGCCCTTATTTGGAGAATCGTAAGATCGGAAGATCATGTGACTGCGCCCTCGAAAGCTGGATGAAACTCATTTTTCGATTTTATTATCTAATTAATAATATTTCCTGTTATAGCTGTTCTGGGACAACTGATAAAAATTAATCAGTCAAATTCGATAAATTTTTTGAATTCGGAGTTGTCGGATTATTGTAATGCGAAAATCCAATTCCGACAACACCGAATTCAAAAACTTATCGAATTCGGCCGATCAAATTTTTTTTATCTGTTGTCCTACTGTTGTCCCAGAATTTATGAGAGCAGCTGTAAACTATTACTGGAAGAATTTGTTTAGAAACAATTGTATAAAACCTGATTTTCCTATAAACATAGCGATAGTGGCATTTACTTTAAATCCTGATTTGGAAGCCTTCAATCGGAACCTTGCCGAGGTTGCTCAGATCATTTTTTTTGGTTTACTAATGTCTTGTATATCAATATTTTACTAATAATTATTAAAAATAATTTTTACATTATTAAACTTATATATTGGCTAGGTGCTGGAAAAAAATGAAAAATTTTTCAAAAGCAATTTTTTACATAAATCAATTTAAAATAAGATTAGATCATTTTTCTATTAAGACGTAAAAGTAGTTATATTAATAAAATTTCGCAGTATAGCTCTTTAAAGTTTGCATTTTCTTATAATTTATTATAAGATTTATAACATAAAAATGATTTTCCGAGGATCTTTTTTTTTTGTCAATTTCGTCCTTTTCTTCAATATTATCTTATTGAGATATCTACTCAAATATTTGAAGATTGTAAACCTCTATTGACCATAGTGTATCATATAGGTATGGAGTCCTAGTTTACCTCAGATATTCATTGGCATGCCAAAGCGTCTAACGTTCACTATGCATGCCTTTATTATAAAATTCTTATAAAATTATGTTCATTGGTTAAAGAAAATTTAATAATATTCAAAAAATAATTTTTTTACATTATTATACTTACATTATGGCATGTCAAGGTGGCATTCCGGCATGCAATTCGCTAAACGGCATGCCATAAGGCATGCCATAAGGCATGCCGAATGATTTTAGACGTGCTAGGTCCCTAGGTAGCCCTACAATATATGTAGTACAAAGCCACATTACCGAAAATTTTTGGTGTTCTTGGGTTAGTTGCGCAAACATTGTGACTGATCTAACGATAATATCGATGTATACAAAATAGAACAATAGATCATAGCCGATAGTAAATTTACTAATATTTTGTCTTTACTGCGTTGCGGACTTATATGTTACACCTTTTAATCAGGTTGACCGCCAAATTATAGCGCCATTACATGCCATTGCTACTATATTTAGTCAAGTTTTATGTATGTATATATATAGTTGGAGTCGCAATTTTACTGAGCCTGTTCTTACATGAATGCCACGTTATTGTAGTTGCTACATAGTGTTTATTCACGTGACCAGTTCATTTCTGCAACTACCCGGAAAAAACGGATTTGTATCAGCATAATGGAAGTTCGATTGATTGGCTATTTATCTTATATTAAAAAAGCATTGTTACACGAATTTTGATATTATTTTACAATAGTGATAGAAAATTTTAATCTAAATAAGACGTATTGAAATTTTTATAATTATAGCTGTCTAAAATTTTGGCAAATTGTTTTTTGGACGTTTAGTTTTCATATAAACGTTAGAGATTAAGTGAGATCAAACACTCCACCAACTTTTATTAAACAAACGTCTCAAATTTCATGAGTATTAGAAATAATATGCATTAATCTTTAATTTTGGCCAATCAAAATTCGGGTATATCAGCCCTTAAATAAATGTTTATGCATAAAAATGGTTACATGATCGGACCGTGTATAGCTAAATGCTGAAATGCTAAATATGTTTCTTATGTTCCTCAGGGGAAATCGTCAAATATATTCATTTTAAAGTAATATCTACAATCTTGCATATTCAAATGTTAGTACGTACCAAGTATCGTTACACCTAACTAATTGTAACGTTTATATATTGTGAAATCAGTTGCAATCGCATTATCTGGATCAAATCTGGATTGAGTTTCAAATATAAAAGATTCTGGTTCATATTGTAATACTAACAGCAACAACTTTGCTTTTTAAGTTGCTTTGAATCTCTCGAATCATCATGGCTGACGATCCAACATCTACTCTTGAGGGAGAAGCTTTGGCTCAAAATACTAGTAATACTCCTGTCTTCGAGCCTACAATTCTTAAAGAATATTTAAATAAACTCCTTCCATTGGTCTTGGGGGCTGAAGAAAAAGACTTGGAGGACTCTTTATGGTCAATTCCAGAGAATCTTGAAAAATTAAATCGTTTCGCTAACGATTCTCAAATTAGCGCTTTGTATATAACAAAGTCAAAGGAAGACAAAAAAGAAGAAGGTAGAGTTATTATAATTTATTAATACCACAATAAATCCCTTCTTCAGATTTTATATAAAGCCAATATTAAATATATGATTTAAAATTTTTTTTTTAATAGATGATCCATTAGTGGTCTCATATGTATATACTATCTCGCAAGAAATCATTTATCGTCTAAATAATGTCGCATCTGTCGCTATCATCAAGCATTCATCAAACTTAGATCCTAATCGTCCTGTACAATCTCAAGTTCAATTCATAAATTTGCCTGGTCCAGCGTCAAGTGAATCTGGATCTGCTAACGTGAGCCCATATGAAGCTCTTCATTCTTGTATTCATCATGCCGTTGCACCATACTTCGATGCTTATGTTAACGCTAAAGGTGGTAGTACTGAAGGTGTTGGGAGCAATAAAAAACATGATGATAATAAAATGGGTAATTTTTATTTCGTGTTTCTGTTAAATGCTTTTGGTTTTTTTTTCACTTTACATTATAAACAAATCTTTATGCTTTTTTAAAAAAAGGTATTCCAATGACTAAAAAGAAGATTGCCGAATTGGAATTAGCTCTCGTTCATTTACAACAAAATGTTGAAATTCCTGAAATATCTCTTAATATCCACCCAGTCGTTCAAAAGGCTGTTGAAAAGGTATCTTTCTTTATTATAAGACCTTTTTTTTTTTTGTTTTTGTTATAGATTAATTAATAGCTTAATTTTTTTACTATATAGAGTAAACAAGAAGGCAGGAGAACAAATGTTGATTTTATCGATCCTGCATTACTTAGTGATACTACTTTCTTGAATAAACTTCAAAGCGACGTAAACGGTTGGATTAAGGAGATCCAAAAAGTAACAAAATTATCACGTGATCCTGCAAGTGGCACTGCTATGCAAGAAATAAATTTCTGGCTTAGTATGGAAACTGCTCTTGAAGGTGTTGACGAACAACTTAAAAGCGATCAAATTGGTAATTAACAGAATTTATTTTGGAATAAATTTAATTACACATATATCTAATTATTGTTTATCCTTTCTTAATCTTTCTTAATCGGTACAGTTTTGACATTGGACATTCTCAGACATGCCAAACGTTTCCACGCCACAGTATCATTTATTGCTGATACAGGATTAAAGGAAGCAAAAGAAAAAGGTATTCATTCATAAATTTAACAATATTTTGTGACGAATATTTTATTAAAATATTATTTCATCCCACTTTCAATATCAGTGCACAAATACAACCAATTAATGAAAGACTTTCCTCTCGGTGAATTGCTATCTGCTCCTGATGTGGTGAAAATTCAAGATGCATTAAATGTTGTTTTTGTCCATTTCACCAAGAAAATGAGATTATCGTAAGTATTAACTGTTTAATTTTATTGCCCATGATTCTTTTGATTTCGATGTCTAAATTTATTATTGGTTCATTATAATAATAGTCCATATCCTATCAAGAAAGCCCTTGCTCTTGTTGAGGCCATTTCTCGTGATTTAAATGAAGTATTATTAAAGGTTTTGGGTAGTCGTCGTTTAATGTACATGGAATATGATGAATTTGAAAAAGTTATGACCGGTGCTGAAAATGTTTTTAAAACCTGGGATGAAATGATCAAGGAATTTACCAATGTAGCACGTGACGTTATGCGCAAACGTTCTGATAAATTCATTCCAATTAAAATAAATCCTGCTCATGATAAATTACAAGAACGTGTTACTTTCGTTAGAAATTTTAGAAAACAACACGAACAACTTCATCAAACAATTGTTAAAGTCATGACTCAACCAAAAAGTGCCACAAAAATTGTTGTCGAAGGTGAAAATAACGTAGTTCAGCAAGAAGAAGGTGTTAGCATGAATGATATCAATTCTATGGAAGAAGTAAAAATAGCATATGAAAGTGTAAAGGACATTGATGTATTAGATGTTTCTATTGAAGGCACAGAAATCTGGATGCAAGCTGAAAATGCATATAATGATCGTGTTTCAAGAGTAGAAAACCAAATTATTGCAAGTCTACGAGATCGACTTGGTACATGCAAAAATGCTAATGAAATGTTTCGTGTGTTCTCAAAGTTCAATGCTTTGTTCGTTAGACCTAAGGTAAGTTCATTATGTAAAAATATTTATTTATATAATATCATAATACTCAACATTTCATTTAATTATTAGATTCGAGGTGCTATTCAAGAATATCAAAATGAACTTATCGACAGAGTTAAAAAAGATATATCTAAACTTCATGAAAAATTCACTCAACAATATCGAAAATCTGAAGCGAATCATATGGCTCAGCTTCGCGATCTTCCTGCTATCTCTGGTGCTATGATTTGGGCTCGTCAAATTGAAAGACAATTACAAACTTATATGAAACGTGTTGAGGATGTTCTTGGTAAAGGTTGGGAAATGTATGCTGAAGGTCAAAAATTACAAGTTGAAAGCAATAACTTTAAAAAGAAATTAGATACAAGACCGGTAATTGTCATTTTTTAAAGACTATCAAAATTTTATAATTTTTACTTTTATTAACACACACACATATATATATATTTATTTTTATAGATCTTTGAGGCTTGGCAAACAGACATTTCTAATCGTCGTGATTTGAACGTAACGGGAAGATTATTTGAAATTACACGAAATCGTGCTCAGGGAAATATTCTTCAATTAGGTGTAAATTTTGATCCACAAATAATTACTTTATTTAAAGAAGTGCGTAATTTATTATGGTTAAATCATCAAGTACCACACAATATAAGTACTAGCGCAAAAGTTGCCAAACGTGTATATCCTTTCGCTGTAAGTCTTATGGAGACAGTTAGAACTTATGCTCAAACAGTGCAAAAGGTTCAAAAACATCCTGATGTTGTCATGTTGGTAGCCAGCTATCGTAACGGTGTACAAGTTATGATTGCTAAAGGTATTACTTTTGAATGGAAATACTTTGTAGACACTTATGATCGTAATTTCCGTGGAGCGTTAGATTCTCCTGAAAATCAACATGTTACTTTTGTTCGAGAATTTGCAAATACTGTATCGGAATTTCAAGATAAAGTTGATGCTTTGATTGCTGATTATGAAAATATTTCACGTCTAATTGAAGATTTAAAAACTTGCGCATATCAAATGAAAAAACTCAATTCAAATTTGGAAAAAATTCAAAAATTGGTATGTTAATTAAATATTGCTTTAAGTAATCATTATATTAAAAATAATAAAAAAATAATCAATATATTAAAAAAGGATTAATATATTAAAAAAACTAACAATATATTAAAAAATAATCAATATATTAAAAATAATCAATATATTAGAAATAATCAATATATTAAGACCTTTCATTTTATATATTCGTAGATTGATAGACTTAATCTCGAATCTTACTCTAATCTTGACGCTTGGGTTGCACAACTTGATAAAAGAATCGAAACTGTCTTGTCTCAACGATTACAACATGCTATAACTTCATGGACAACAGAATTTATGTCCTCTAATGAAGATTCTATTAATATCACTGAACCAATCTCTCATGAATCTTCAGTTAGTAAAGTTTTGAAGAGTACTAGACGTAGAAATGTTAGAAATGATTCTATTGATGGTGAAAGACCATTAACTGCAAAAGCCGAAAAACCTGTGCTCGATCATTCTATTCATATAGTGCGTATTAAAAATCAAGTAATTTATCTAGATCCACCAATTGAGGATGCTAGAACTAAATGGTATAATCAACTACACGAATGGCTTTGTAAGTTTTATCCTTTTATTTATTCTTTTATAAATTGCAATCGAAATTCTCAAAAAAATTTTTATTAAAGATATCGTTTTATTAAATTATATTAGCGATTGTGTGCAATTTACCAAGAGTTCAAGGTTCACGTTATGATATTGATCTACATGTTAGAGGATCCAGTGTTTCTCGGGAGACCACTTATTCCAACTTACTAGCACAAATTCCCGACGGTTCACTAGAAAAAGCATATAATGTCATTGAAGCCAAATTGAAAGAAGTATCTGAATATGTTAACAAATGGTTCCAATTTCAGTCATTATGGGATCTCGAACCTAATCATATTTATGATCGACTTGGCGATGATCTCAATAAATGGAAACAAATTTTATCGGAAATCAAAAAATCACGTACAACATTTGATAATTCAGATGTTGAACGTTCCTTTGGTTTTATTGTTGTAAATTATGAACAAGCGCAAAGCAAAGTTAATGCTAAATATGATCAATGGCAACGTGACGTTCTTGCTAGATTTGGTATTAAACTTGGTGATTGCATGAAAGAATTTCACGCTGATGTTTCAAATTCTCGTAAAGAGCTTGAAAATAAATCTATGGAAAGCAATAATACAAGTGAAGCTGTTGCTCTGATTACTTTTGTGCAAGACCTCAAACGTAAAGTTAACAAATGGAACTTGGATGTTGAGATATTCCGGGAAGGACAAAAAACTTTGGAGCGACAAAGATATCAATTTCCAAGTGATTGGCTACATATTGAACAAATTGACGGTGAATGGAGTGCTTTTAACGAAATTTTAAATAAAAAGAACAACCAAATCCAAGATCAAATCGGTAATTATTTTATTAATTTCATTGTTCATGAGTTCGAATATATATTTAATTTTTTATGTATATTTTTTCTTGAAATGTTGTAGATGGATTGAAATTGAAGATTGTTGACGAAGATAAAAAAGTGGAAGATAAAATTAAAAAGATTGTTGATGAATGGAAAACTAGTAAGCCAATACAAGGAGATATCAAACCAGACATTGCTACAAATACTCTTCAAATTTACGAAGGTCGTGTTACTCGTCTTAAGGATGAATATGACATGGTTTGTCGTGCAAAAGAAGCACTTGACATGGCCTTGGCTTCTGAAGATAGTTTAGATATTGTTCTTGAAGAACTTAAAGACCTCAAATCAGTTTGGAGTTCTCTTTCAAATGTTTGGCAATCAATTAATGAATTAAAGGAAACCTTGTGGTCTTCGGTAGTTCCACGAAAAATTCGACAACAATTGGATAACCTACTTAATTCCATTAAAGAAATGCCCGGTCGCATACGTTCATATGAAGCATTTAATTATGTACAAGATACTGTCAAAACCTACCTTAAAATTAATCCAGTTCTTTCCGAACTCAAATCTGAAGCATTGAAAGAACGTCATTGGAGGCAATTATTTAAGGCTCTTAAAATTGAAGGCCGTTTCCATTTAGCCGAAATGACAGTTGGTCATGTTTGGGATTTCGATCTTAAGAAAAATGAACAAACTATAAAAGACATTGTAGTCCAAGCCACTGGAGAAATGGCTTTGGAAGAATTCTTGAAACAAGTGAAAGAAACTTGGACTTCATATGTCCTAGAACTTGTAAATTATCAAAATAAATGTCGTCTTATCAAGGGATGGGACGAACTCTTTACTAAATGTAGTGAAAATCTCAATTCCTTGACTGCAATGAAAATGTCACCTTATTACAAAGCATTTGAGGAAGATGCTTCATCATGGGAGGATAAATTAAACAGAGTTCATGTCTTATTTGATGTTTGGATTGATGTTCAACGTCAATGGGTATATTTAGAAGGAATCTTTAGCGGAAGCGCGGACATTAAACATTTGCTTCCAGTTGAAACTCAACGTTTTTCATCTATAAACACTGAATTCTTGACTGTTATGAAAAAAGTGTACAAATCTCCATTTGTTCTAGATGTTCTAAACATTCCAAATGTTCAAAAGTCATTGGAGCGTTTAGCTGATCTATTGGCAAAAATTCAAAAGGCACTTGGTGAATACCTTGAACGTCAACGTTCTACTTTCCCCCGTTTCTATTTTGTGGGTGACGAAGATTTACTTGAAATTATTGGTAATAGTAAAGATGTCGTTCGTATTCAAAAACATTTCAAAAAAATGTTTGCTGGCGTTTCCAATATCATTCTTAATGAAGACTGTAGTATTATTCTTGGTATGTCATCACGAGAAGGCGAGGAAGTTCCTTTCAAAACTCAAATAAAAATCAGTGACTATTCACGTATAAATGATTGGAAAGTATAAAATCTCTGTTTTATCTATCTATATTTTTTCGTTCTTTTTAATAATTTGATATTTTAATTTTGTAGGTTGACCATGATAGAAACTCAAATGCGTATTTCACTAGCAGAATGCTTAAAAGATGCTGTAAATGAACTGAATACTTTCTATCTAGCTGAAGAATTAGTTACAAAGACATTTTTGGAATGGATTGAAAAGTATCCAGCACAATTAGTTGTAGTCGCAGCGCAAATTATTTGGACTCAATCAGTTGAAAAATCTCTGGAACAATTTAGCAAAGATGAAGAACCATTAAGCGGTTCTCTTAAGTATGTGCTGCGTGCTTTGGATGTTTTAGCAGATACTGTACTTCAAGATTTGGTCTCTACACAACGTAAAAAATGTGAACATTTGATCACTGAACTTGTGCATCAACGTGATACTATCCGTCAATTGCAACGTGATAAAATTTCTTCTCCTAAGGACTTTGCATGGCTATATCACATGAGATTTTATTTCAATACTACTATTGAAGATCCGCTATTACGTTTATCCATCCATATGGCAAATGCTCAATTTTATTACGGCTACGAATACCTTGGTGTGCCCGATCGTTTGGTGCAAACACCACTTACTGATAGGTTTGTTAACTATCCCATGAATTATTTACCATAATTTTTAGCAACGTTTTAATATTTAATTTCTCCATACAATGTAAAGATGTTATTGTACTCTTACACAAGCGCTTGAAGCCAGATTGGGTGGCTCTCCATTTGGTTCGTTTCGTTCTTTCGGTTTATTGTTATTCATTAATTTAGTGCTACTACAAATTACTTATCTAATCTCAAAAATTTTTTATTATAAATTTAACAGGACGTAAGTATCTTGTTTTTATTTACATACACATCTATTACTTTCTACTAATCTCTATTCATATTTATACTTTCATAAAAATTTCTACTCTACAGCTGCGTAAGTATTGTTTTGTTTTTTCACTATACTATATTTAACTGATTAATTCTGAAAAATTTTTTAATGATTCATTTGATATATTTTGATCACAACAGTGGTATGTTTATATTTGTTTCTTTTATATCTTTGTTACTAAAAATGAGCATAAATTGTATATAATTGAAAATTATAATTTTTAGGAACCGGCAAAACTGAATCCGTAAAGGCACTCGGTGTTCAGGTATAGTTTACATTGATCGTATTTATTTCGTAATAGTTGATTTTTTTTTGCAGAAATAATCTTATAAGTACTGTAAATATAGTTGGGAAGATTTGTACTCGTATTCTGTTGTGATGAAAATTTCGATTTCCAAGCTATGGGTCGTATCTTTGTCGGGCTTTGTCAAGTCGGTGCTTGGGGATGCTTTGACGAATTTAATCGTCTTGAAGAAAGAATTTTATCTGCTGTTTCTCAGCAAGTACAAACCATTCAACTTGGTCTTAAGGCTGTTACAGATGATCCAAATGCAGAAGTGGAAATTGTTGGCAAAAGTCTAAAAGTTAACCCCAATACCGGTGAGTATCTTGAATTTCATTATTATTTAACCAACATTTTATCAGTAACTTATTGTTAACAACATATTTATTTAGGTATCTTTATTACTATGAATCCTGGTTATGCTGGTCGTTCCAATTTACCTGACAACTTGAAGAAACTCTTCCGTAGCATGGCTATGACAAAACCAGATCGTGAATTAATTGCACAAGTAATGTTGTATTCTCAAGGCTTCCGAACTGCAGAAACTCTTGCTTCAAAGGTTGTCCCGTTATTCAACCTTTGTGCCGAACAACTTTCTCCACAAGCGCATTACGATTTTGGTCTTCGTGCTCTTAAAAGTGTGCTAGTTAGTGCCGGTAATCTTAAACGTGAACGCCTTCAAATACTTAGAGAAAGCAATTCAGACAAATCTGAATATACCAGGATTTCAGAGTCTACACCCGAGCAAGAGATTTTGATTCAAAGTATTCGCGAAACTATTGTTCCAAAATTGGTATCAGATGATATTCCTCTTTTAACTAGGTGGGTAATGATACTAATTCATAATTATTAGTAATCAATACTAATTAGGCCGTTTTCTTGTTTGTAATAGTTTGCTTGCTGACGTCTTCCCAGGCGTTGAGTATGCGCCGGTAGACCTTGATAAACTTACAGCAGAGATTAAGAATGTTTGTAATGAAAGATGCCTTCTTGATGGTGAAATGTGGCTAGAAAAAGTTCTTCAACTTTATCAAATTCAAAATATTCATCATGGTCTTATGATGGTCGGACCATCTGGCTCTGGTTAGTTAAATAACACTATCTCTTAATAAATTGTTTCAATCATTATTAATTTATTGTTTTTAGGTAAATCAATGGCATGGAAAGTATTGCTTCAAGCATTGGAGCGAGTTGAAGGGCGCGAAGGTGTTTCGTACGTTATTGATCCTAAGGCTGTGTCCAAAGATGCCCTCTATGGTAATTTAGATCAAACAACTCGTGAATGGACGGATGGTTTGTTCACTCATATTTTACGTAAAATCATTGACAATGTTCGTGGTGAAAAACTTAAAAGACATTGGATTATATTTGATGGTGATGTGGATCCTGAATGGGTTGAAAATTTGTATGTGTTGTCGCGCGAATTTATAGTTTTTATATCATTAACCTTATTATTAACATAATGTTACTTTATTTTTGAATATTTTAACAGAAATTCTGTATTGGACGACAATCGATTATTAACTCTCCCTAATGGTGAACGTTTAAGTCTTCCAAATAATGTCCGTATTATGTTTGAAGTAGAAAATCTAAAATATGCCACATTAGCTACTGTCAGTCGTTGTGGTATGGTGTGGTTCTCTTCGGTATGTGATTATTTATTATTAATAATGATTATAATATAGATTTCATGATTATATCAAATGTTTTCATTCGTATTTTGTGATTTTTAGGAAGTGGTTACTCTTGACATGATTTATTATAATTATTTGGAAACTCTGAAATCCGTTCCTTTGGATGAAAATGAAGAAGAAAGTTCCTCTACTCATAGAGTTGAAGGAGAAGAAACTATCTCTCCACATCTTAGTACACAACGTGACATTGCCAATATTCTTGGTAGACATATGACTGAAGAAGGATTAGTCACAAGAACTCTTATACAGGCAGAAAAATTAGAACATATTATGGACTTTACTTATATGCGCGTGTTGAATACATTATTCTCTTTATTAAACAAAACTGTACGTAATGTAATCGAATACAATATACAACATCCCGATTTCCCAATGACAGCAGAGCACTTAGATGGTTATGTGACTAAGCGCCTAGTTCTTGGCGTTATTTGGAGTTTCTCTGGGGATGCTAAATTAGATTACCGTGCTCAGCTAGGCGATTTTGTTCGTGGAATAGCTACAGGTAAAGTATATGATGCTTTCCTCATATAGTTCCAACCTTTCAGCTCCCTGTCTAATTTTTTATTTTATGTATATGTAGTGGATTTGCCTCCTGCGCAAGTAGGTTCAACTCTCATCGATTATGATGTTCAAATCGCTAATGGTGAATGGGTTTCATGGACTGGCAAAGTTCCAACTATTGAAATTGAAACTCATACGGTATCTGAGGCTGATGTGGTTGTTCCTACAGTTGATACTGTTCGTCATGAAGAAATATTGTACTCCTGGCTTTCAGAACACAAACCTCTTTTATTATGTGGTCCTCCTGGATCCGGAAAAACCATGACATTATTTAGTGCTCTTAGAAAATTGCCAGATATGGAAGTTGTCGGTCTCAACTTTTCCAGTGCAACCACCCCCGAATTGATTTTAAAAACATTTGAGCAATATTGTGAATATCGTAAGACTCCAACTGGAGTAATTTTATCCCCCGTTGCCATTGGTCGCTGGATTGTGGTATTTTGTGATGAAATCAATCTTCCTGCAAGTGATCAGTACGGCACTCAACGTGTTATCTCATTTTTAAGACAATTGATTGAATGTGGTGGTTATTGGAGAACATCTGATAAAGCATGGGTTAAATTGGAACGAATACAATTTGTCGGAGCTTGTAACCCCCCAACAGATCCTGGACGTGTGCCGTTAACTCATAGATACCTTCGTCATGCTCCTTTAGTGATGGTTGATTATCCTGGTGAAATTTCCCTTAATCAGATTTACGGAACATTTGCTCGGGCCATGTTAAAAGTTGTTCCCTCACTTCGAATGTATGCTGAACCGCTTACAGCTGCGATGGTCGAATTTTATCTTATGTCCCAAAAACATTTTACTCCCGATATGCAAGCACATTACATTTACTCTCCTCGTGAATTGACCAGATGGATGCGAGGTATTTTTGAGGCAATTAAGCCTTTGGAAACCCTTTCTCTTGAAGGTTTGGTTCGGATTTGGGCGCATGAAGCTTTGCGATTATTCCAGGATCGTCTTGTTACTGAAGACGAAAGAAAATGGACGGACGAAAACATTGATTCCACTGCCATGAAACACTTTCCAAGTTTGAACTCATCCGAATCATTGAATCGACCAATTCTATTTTCTAACTGGTTGTCCAAACATTATATCCCTGTTGAACGTGAAGAATTGCGTGACTATGTTAAAGCCCGTCTCAAAGTCTTTTATGAAGAAGAATTAGACGTACCATTGGTCTTGTTTAATGATGTCTTAGATCATGTTCTTCGTATTGATCGAGTGTTTAGACAAATGCAAGGACATTTACTTTTAATTGGTGTAAGTGGATCTGGTAAGACTACTTTGTCTAGGTTTGTTGCTTGGATGAATGGATTAAGCGTCTTCCAAATTAAAGCACATAACAAGTATACTGGTGATGATTTCGATGAAGATTTAAGAACAGTCTTAAGAAGGGCTGGCTGTAAAGGAGAAAAAATTTGTTTTATAATGGACGAATCAAACGTATTAGATTCGGGTTTCTTGGAGCGTATGAATACACTTCTTGCTAATGCAGAAGTTCCCGGATTATTTGAGGGTGATGAATATAATGCGTTAATGACAAGTTGTAAGGAGGGTGCTCAGAAAGATGGGTTAATGTTAGACTCTCCTGAAGAATTATACAAATGGTTTACACAACAAGTAATGAAAAACTTGCACGTTGTATTTACAATGAATCCTCCGGAAGGTGGCCTTGCTTCTCGCGCAGCAACATCTCCTGCTCTTTTCAACCGTTGTGTTTTAGATTGGTTTGGTGATTGGTCAGATCAAGCTTTCTTCCAAGTAGGCATGGAATTCACCCAAAATTTGGACTTGGACCTTCAGACATATTCACCCCCCAGCAACTTTCCTACTGCGTATAGATTATTACCACCTCAACCTTCACATCGTTCTGCCATTGTAAATGCATTTGTTTTTGTTCATCAATCCCTTTACGAAATTAATGCAAAATTGAGCAAACGTCAAGGTCGTTATAATTATGTAACGCCACGACATTATTTGGACTTTATTAACCATTATGTACGATTATTCAATGAGAAACGCGAAGATCTTGAGGAACAGCAGCGTCATTTGAACATTGGGTTAGATAAATTAAAAGAAACTGTGACTACTGTTGATCAACTTCGTAGCGATTTGGCCATAAAGAATGCAGCGCTTCAAGAAAAGGATAAGGAAGCTAACGAAAAGTTTCAGAGATTACTTGTTGATCAAGGCGAAGCTGAAAAACGTAAGAAGGCATCAGAAGAAATTTCGAAAGCCCTCGAGGTTCAAACCAAACAAATTGAAGAACGTCGTGAAGTAGTAATGAATGATTTAGCTAACGCTGAACCAGCTGTTGAAGACGCTAAAAAGAGTGTAAGAGGTATTACTAGACAACATCTTACAGAAGTGCGTTCAATGAACAATCCTCCTGAAGCAGTGAAAATGGCGATGACTTCTGTTTGTCTTTTGCTTGGCCGCAAAGCTGAAACTTGGCAACAATTGCAAGCAATCATCAGAGGTGATGACTTTATTAATAGTATTGTTCAATATGATACCAACAGACTGACCAAAAATGTGCGAGAAAAAATTAAATCAGAATATCTTCAAAAACCTACTTATAACTTTGAACTTGTGAACAGGGCTAGTAAGGCATGTGGTCCTTTGGTTAAATGGGTAATTGCCCAAGTTAGTTATTCAGATATTTTGGATAGAGTTGGTCCTATGCGTAAGGAAATGGAAGACTTAAAAGAAGAACAAAAGAAAACTCAACAACAGGCTGAGAGTCTGCAACAAATGATCAAAGAATTAGAACAGAAAATAGCAATATATAAGGACGAATATACAGAATTAATTAAAGCTAAAGAAGCTATTAAAGACGATATGAACCAGGTTAAGAGCAAAGTAGATAGAAGTATGACTCTACTTGCTAGTCTATCATCTGAAAAGGAAAGATGGGAGTCTGGTAGTCAAGCATTTGAAACGCAGATGGGAACAATTGTAGGTGATGTAGTACTTTCTGCAGCATTTCTCGCCTATGGTGGATATTTCGATCAGCAATATCGTGAAATATTACTTCAAAAGTGGACAAATCATTTGATCGACGCCAAAATTCAATATAAGCCAGAACTTTCGTTGACAGAATATTTGTCAACAGCTGATGATCGTCTTTCATGGCAAGCAAATTCTCTCCCGGCTGACGACTTATGTACTGAAAATGCCATTATGCTTAAGAGGTTCAACAGATATCCACTCATTATTGACCCATCTGGTCAAGCTTCTTCATTTTTAAAGAATGAATTTAAAAACAAAAAAATTACTGTCACTAGTTTCTTAGATGATTCATTTATTAAGAACTTAGAAAGCGCTCTTCGTTTCGGTAATCCGTTACTCATTCAAGATGTTGAACATCTTGACCCTATTTTAAATCCTGTTCTTAACAAAGAATTGCGCCGTACTGGCGGTCGTGTTTTAATAAGGTTGGGAGGACAAGACATTGATTTCTCACCATCATTTACACTTTTCCTTTCAACCCGTGATCCTTCTGTGAATTTCCCTCCAGACGTGTGCAGTAGAGTAACATTCGTTAACTTTACCGTGACACGTAGTAGTTTACAAAGTCAATGTCTTAACCAAGTTCTTAAAGTTGAACGACCTGATACTGATCAGAAACGAACAGATTTAGTCAAACTTCAGGGTGAATTTAAACTGAGGTTAAGACATCTCGAAAAATCTCTCTTGCAGGCTTTAAATGAATCAGAGGGTAATATTTTGGATGATACTAAGGTCTTGGATACATTGGAAAAATTGAAAACAGAAGCTGCTGAAATTACTCGAAAAGTCGAAGAAACTGACACTATTATGCAAGAAGTTGAACAAGTCACAACACAATACACACCTTTAGCTCAAGCCTGTAGCTCTGTTTTCTTTGTTATGGAGCAAATAAACATTTTACATCACTTTTATCAATTTTCACTTGAATATTTCTATGAAATATTCCAATATATCCTTCATGAAAATCCAAACCTCAAATCCGTTACAGATCGTGATGAGAGATTGAAAATTATCATCCGTGATCTTTTTAAAGTGACCTTCAAGCGCGTATCTCGAGCTTTGCTACATGAAGACTATGTTACATTCGCAGTTTTACTATCTCAAATTAAACTTCGTGGATCTTCTGACCAAGTTGATGAAGCTGAATATGATTTCATGCTAAGCGGAGGCGATGTCGTACCTGGATCAAAAGTTACAGCAAGAGAACTAGGATTACCTGAAAATGTCTTTGATACTGATCAACTTTGTAAAATAAAAGAATTCATGACTCTTGCATGTTTCTCTAGACTTAACAGGCATATTAGTGACAATATTGAAGATTGGGTTAAATTTATGAATGTTGATTCGCCTGAGAATAACGTACCTGAATGTTGGGATCCTTCATTACCTCGTATGTTTAATTCTTCTGCTTTTAATATATACATGTGTTTTTTGTTTTTGTATACATTACTGACATTATAAAAACCTTATACAGCAACTGTTATACAATTACGTAAAATATTGATTATCAAATGTTTCCGCCCTGATAGACTTATTCCTACAGTATCCGAATTTGTGTCTATTGCATTCGAGCCAGGTTTTGGCTCTCAAACAGAATTGGACTTTAAGTCATTAGTGATGGATGAAGTTCTACCTACTACTCCTATTTCTTTATGTTCTGTTCCTGGATATGACGCAAGTTACCGTGTGGATAATCTCGTATCTGAAGTTGGTGTCAAATGTACATCTGTTGCAATGGGTTCTCAAGAAGGTTTCACATTGGCAGATAGTGCTATTGCAAGCTCAGTTAAGAATGGAAATTGGGTTTTATTGAAAAATGTTCATTTAGCTACATCTTGGTTAGGTCAACTTGAAAAGAAGCTGCATAGTATGAAAGCACATAGAAACTTTAGACTTTTCCTCACCATGGAGACAAATCCTAAGGTATGGTTATGGTGCATTTTCATGACAACTGTGACATTAATCATCTTTTAACTAAATTGGTATATTATAAATTACTTGTAGGTGCCTGTAAATTTGTTGCGCTTATCACGTGTACTTATGTTCGAGCCTCTACCAGGTATCAAGGCAAACCTTATCGACTCGCTTTCGGGTATCCCTCAATCACGATACTCAAAAGGGCCAAGAGAGCGTGTTCGCCTTTACTTTATGCTTGCATGGTTGCATGCTATTGTGCAAGAACGTCTTCGTTATGCACCTCTCGGTTGGACCAAGATTTACGAATTTAATGATTCTGATCAAGACTTTGCGATTAACACCATTGATGCGTGGTTGAATTCAGTCGCTCAAAACAGAGAAAACATTTCCCCAGATAAAATTCCATGGGAGGCACTTCGTACATTAATCTGTGTTGCTGGCTACGGTGGCCGTATCGATAATGAATTCGACAAGCGTCTTCTCGAATGTTTTGTAAATGGTTTATTCTCACCTGCTGCCTATGAGTTTGAATTTCCGCTTGTTGATTCAGAGGACTCGCACAAACTAGTTATCCCTGATGGAACAAAAATGGAAGACTTTATAAACTGGGTTAATAATCTCCCAGAACGCGAGCCACCTATATGGCTAGGATTGCCAAGCAATGCAGAAAGAGTTTTAGCCACAAGCAAAGGTAAGTTACTATTACCGAAATTTTTTTATGAATTGCTAAATATAATTCTCACCTTTTTAACATATAGGTTACGCAATGCTTGTGAAAATTCGAAAAATGAAAAATACTTCTGATGATGATGATGTTGAACTTTCTCAAGATTCTGATTCTCAGTCATCTTCACAACCTGCTTGGATGCGTGCATTACAGGCATCTGTTGAAGGATGGTTAAGCGTACTCCCAGAAAAGATTCCAATGATGAACCGTACTTCTGAAAGTATTAAAAATCCATTATTCAGATTTTTCGATCGTGAAAACTCAATCGGACGTAGTCTCCTCAAAAAAATTCGCCAAGATCTTGACGACGTCAGCCTAGTTTGCAAAGGTATTTATTTAAATTTGGATTTTTATTGTCAAAGTTAAACTAAAAAAAATTTTTTGCAATTCAAAGGTGAACTCAAACAGACGAATCATTTGCGTATGCTATTGAATTGTCTTACAAAGGGTTGGTTGAGTTTTGTTTATTTATAAATTGTTTTATATTATTGACAATGACAATGCCTAAAGTAATTTATTATAATTTTAAAATTTAAGGTATTATACCGGATCACTGGCGAAAATATAAAGTCCTTAAAACTGTATCCATAAATCATTGGATTGCTGATTTCAGAAGCAGACTTCAACAACTTGAAAGCATTACGAAATTACATGACTTTTTAGATTTACAAGTATGGATTGGTGGTCTTTTCATGCCCGAAGCATTTATCACGGCCACCCGCCAAGCAGTAGCACAAAAACATAAATGGTCTTTAGAAGAATTGGTATTAGAAATTGCTCTCAACAAGAGTGGAGATCCTGATTCTTTCGCATTAACTGGTAATGGTCAAGCGAGGTTTTATTGATTTCTATATGAAATATGTTTAAAAACAAAATCTAACGTGTATATATATTCCATTTATATTAACGTTTCTTAGGGCTTAAACTTGAAGGTTTGTTTTCTCAAGTTTTCATTACTAGCTTTTAAATAAATTTTGATAAAATATGCTTTTAAATAAATTTTGATAAAATATTAACATTTGCTAACTCATATAGGTGCTGAATGGGATGACAATCATGTGGGTCTTTGCGCAAATCCAACAACCAAATTAGATATTTCTCAAATTAAATGGGTTAGAAAGGAGGAAGCTACACCAACTACTGAAACAACTATAAACCTTCCAGTTTATCTTAATGAAGATCGTTCTGATTTGCTCTTTATTGTTAATATTGAAGCAAAAGTCACTGAAAAGGTTAAGATTGCGCAACGTGGAGTAGCCATTGTTCTCTAAATGATTAAAAGATTATCTTTATTTGCTTAAGTTATAGCATTTATTAAGTTAAAACATTATAGGATATATCGATATATATATTTATTTAGTGAAATCATAACGTAGTATTATAAAACTAACAATGTACTTCATTTACTGACCAAAAGTTGATAATAAATAAAGTTGTGAATATTATGAATATTTATTAATTTCGATTTCATTGTATAAGCTTTAAATTTTCCAATTGCGTTTATAAACATAACGTGCTTTCTAAAAATGTAATATTTCACAAATAGCACAAAATTATACGTACATTTTATTATAAAATTATAAAATTTTGTAAACATTTTTTGACATAAATACCAGAAATATTATATTTTCAATTAATAATTAATTTATATTTTCAATTAATAATTAATTAATCTCAAATATATAACATAAAATCTTTATTTTGCGAATTATTTAATTACAAAAAAAAAATGCAAAACCTATTTTAATATATTTTTTTTTATCGTGAACCCTATTAGATTAGTAGTATAATGCGTAGTATAATGCAAGTTAGTCATCGAACGGTTGTTCGATGTCCAGGCCACACCACATAGGACGACCGATCAATAATTCACCCCAAAAAAAACGTGTACTATGTTTATGTACTAATTTAAATTCTTATTATACGTAGAAGCTGAAAATCAAGCGGGAAGTAATTTATACATACACTCTTCTGACAGTGATCACCGGAATTTATTAGTTATATATGATCTTTTTTTTTACAAGTTTTTATGACTGCAATTTTTCAACAATCCATTTATTAAATTGGATCAATTTTTTTTATTTAATAGTTATGTAAACAAGTTTTTATTTTCAAAAAATAATATTGTGTAGGATAGTCATTAGCTTCAATTATGATATAAACATAACAAGGAATACTTTCAACAGGTTTTAAAAATCAAACCATCTAAATTAAACTATTCATCCTGGAGCAAACAGAATAGTTCTGACTCACTGCTTGGCAGAGAAATACATTTATGAATATGATGTTTCAATTCATCTTAAAATATATGTAATAGGTTAAGATCTGGGTTGTATAAAGGTTAGGAAAGTATGTCACTTCAATCTTTTTCAACCAATTTTTGGTAAATGTTACAGAGGGAATTTTTATATTATTATCTTGAAAAAAATATTTTTTTTTCTAATAATATTTTTTAGACTTTCTAAATAAGATAATAAACAATTATAAAAAGCTTTAGCATAGTTTTTTGTATTCATCTTACCAAAAACCTAAATCAACAATCCAGAACCTTATATACTAAACAATCTTATATATTATATTTCTTTTTCTTAATCTAAATATCAAAATTAAACAATTTATATTATATTTTTTTGATTTTCTTTAAACATATATTTGATTATTCTTTTTAAATATTTCAAATTATTTGATTTGTCATTTTAGATAATATTTTTTCATTTTTTATTTTAATGTTTTTTGTTTTTAATCTATTTTAATTAATTTACATAGAAGGGTTTATTTACAAATACTTTTTTTTTAATATAGTCAAAAAAAATTTTTTATAAATATAATGTTGAACAGTATATATAGACACTTTAATAAATGTTAATTAAATAAATTTATTAGTAAAAATGTTCAAACTAAACTTTTTATTTTGTTACAAAAGATATACAAAATAACAGATATCATGTTTAGTTATTTTAAAAGACATTTCTAAATAACAAAAAGGTTTAATAATTTTATTGTTTTTGTAATAATTAAAAAACTTATAGATAATTTTTTTGGAAAATTTTATAATTCTTATAATTTTTGCTAATTTTATACTATTGTACCAAATGGCTACAATTTAGTTATATTGCTCTTTGTTAAATTTTTTTTTATCTTATAATAAACAAAGAAAAAATATATAAAAATAAAAATATATATAGTTAAAACTAATAACTTTTGATAAAATTGTAAAAAAATTATTGTTTTTTATTAAAATTTAGTTGTTCAACAAAATTTTTTTTATAGTAAATTATTACTATTAATCATATATAATTTTTCAAAATTCTAATAATTATTATCAAGAGAGTATACATTAAAGTTGGTTATTAAAATCTTTTTGATCAAATTTGAAAGTTTCAGATTTTAAATTATAGTTTTCAAAACCTTATCTGATATTTTAGAACTTTATTTAAAAGTTAAAACCTTATATAAAATTCTAAAACTCTATTAATATAATAAATTTTAATAAAATCAATAAAAAAGTATACAAGCTCAACTCTTTCTAATGATCTTTTATACTAACTTTTTTCTAAAAACCTGATTTATGAAAACTATATAGTTATTATATTACATATAACAAAGCTTTATTTTGGAATAACTGAAATTAGAAGCTATTTACTGCATGTTGTTTGTAACTAAAAAAAGTTAAAAAAGACTTAAACTCTTATAAGTGAAGTTCTCTAATATAAAACTCAAGTACTACTAAACAAAGAAATAGTAGATAAGTTTTGAAGTTTTATTAAGTATTATAAAATTTAGGCCTAAATAGTTACTTAGTTTAATATAATACTCTATATAGTATAATTCTTACAACTCTTTTACAAGTTGGTTATCTCTTTTATACTTGTTATCCAAAATCTAAAACCTTTCTAAAACTTTAAAATTGAAATATTAATAATTAATACATATTTTTTTTTTTTTTTAAATTTCCCACTGCTTGGTCGCTAGTGGGCCACAGCTGGCAGCTGTTTTATTAGTTCATATTTCAAGTTCACGGAACCTTCTATTAGGACCCCATTTACATTTTTATACTGTTTGTGTACATTTACAGTACTATCTATATACTAATTTTTGTGTTTCTATTACCCTGGAATTTCACTGAAATTATTCCTAATTGGGGATTCCTTTGTTCTATTATTATCCTCAGCCCCCTAATTATCACAGCCTTCTTATGTCAAGTCCGTCGCCATTTAAGGATCTGGGTACTGAAGATCTTCCTATTTTCGTAATATGCCATCTGGTATGGTTAATTTGTAATCATAGTTCTAACACAGTTTATGTCCCCTGTTGGACTTGAACCAGCAACCTTGCGATTAGTAACCTGGGAGCATAACCACTTCACTATCGACCCACAGGTTTAATTAATACACATTTACAATAAAGTAATTAAAATTTTTTTGAAATGCAATCTAATTATAAAATACTTTAAGTCTTAATATTTAAAATTAAATTTTAAGTCTTTCAGTAGTGTTAGAGTTTCAGAAAAGGTTTCGGGTTTCAGTTTCAGTTTCAAAATTTTATATATAGTTTTAGGTTTTAGATAACAACTATAATATCTTTCATCTTTATTATTAGATTTTTTTTTTGAAATTTTTACCAAAAAGTAAAAAATCTGGTATACTCCCTCTAAAGAATTAATACTGTTTACTTTCCAAATTGATAACAATAATTATAAAGAAGTTATACATAATAATCATAAAGAAGTTACATACTATATACATGATTAATGATAAATAATATATATTAATCTTAAGAAAAAACAAAAACTTTAATCTTTCTTTATATACAATAAATAAAATATATTATAATACAAAAATAAAGCAAATATGAAGTATTCTTTATTTAATCAATTTTTCACAACAATCACTTGTACTGAATTTCACACCAACAAAAACAGAAAACTTATTAGAGAAAGTAGAAGAGACTACTATATAAATAACAGTTTTTATAAAGGTTAAAGTAGTTCTTCTACACTGGACTCCTTTATATATTTAGTAAGCAAACTAAAAGCATATATATACAAGATAACTAGCAGAAGGTGCCCTTGTATAACAAATTTTAGTAAAAGTCTTAGCTTTTGTTAACAAAGTTAAAATAGTAGGCCTTATAGAAGAACAATAAGCAAGTTTTTAATATATTTACTAAAAATTCAAGGATACCTGCTAACCGAACACCACTACTATATTTCTCACTTGGTTTTTGATAGAAGTTTTTATAAGAAGTGGAAATCTAGTGTATTTCCTATAAAAGATCTACAGAAATCATCCATTTTGGGAATAGAAGAATTATCCCTTTTCTGGAATTAGGAGTAGCTCTAATCGGAGTGAAAGGGTTGGCTGTAGAACTGATAGAGAAAAAATTAAAATTCAACATCTTTATCATCAAATAATATTTATATATAGTATAAACTTATTTTTAGAATAGAGACTAGAAGTAGCAGTATTATATAATTTTTACAATTTGCTCTGGCTAGGGCTTCAGCCTTCTTTTTGTTTTTTCTTTTTCTTACTATTACATGTTCATTTTGCTGTTTTGCTTTGATTTGGGTTTTGTTTGTTTACTTTTGGTTTTTTTAGTCATATTCTTATTTGTATTCAATTTTATAATATTCCTCTTTTTTTGGCGATTGAGAAGAAGAAAGAATTTAAAGAAAGGATTGAAGAAAGTTAATGCTTGTTTCAGAAGAGAAAAATCCTTTCTGGTATAGCTTTAAGTAGCCAGATAAGCAGTTTACCTCTAACTGGGGTAGTGCAGCAGATCACACTTAGGTACTAATAAGGTGGCCAAGTAATGCTGAACTTAGTTATTAGAAAAATTCTATGTAGTTATTGTATATAGTTGCAAGAATTTTAATAAAGTACTAGCATGACTGCTTAAAAGCAAAAAAAAAAAAATAATAAATATTCTTTATTTAATATTATATATAATTTTTAATATCAAGTATAGACAAAAATAATACCTTTATGTTTTTTATTTTTTTTTTACCTTTCTTTTTTTTTGTTTTTTCTTTTTTTTATTTTATTTTTTTTTTCTTTTTGGTAATATTTAGGTTTTATAGTTAGTTTTCTCTTTTATATTTTTTTTTAGTTTTTCTTTTATATATCTTATTGTTCTTTAGGCAAGGATTATAGAATTCTTTTGCTTAATAATTAGAAAAGAAGGAATTTAAAGATTTAGTAGCCATGATGAACCTGTAGAAGCATTTAGTGATATACCTTAAAGATTTAATTAATTTGAAATAATAGGT